ACGACAAATGGAACATCATTGTGAATTTGCCCTTCAGCCCGACACCACTGTGCTTGTAGACTTCAGTCGATTTCGCCTCGGATCCCATGCCTTTCCTCTAAATAGTTGCTACACGACACTGTTTCCATGAGAGAAGGTGGGAGGTCTAGGTCATAATTATTTTCCACCTGGAAATCCTTTAAAGGCACCGTCGAAGATTATGGAAGGTCGATTGAGGATACTCATAGTATGCTTGTTCCATCACGTGAGAATGCATTGACCCATCGGATCTGAGGAGCGGGGCGTTCGTCTTGGCTGTGGAGCCGTAGGCAGCATTTATTGATACGAAACAGTCTTCGTTTCATTGTGTTCTGCCTATCATTGGATTTCCCAGGTCTTGCGATTCATCCGGGGTCCTGCATTTCCCGCAGCCGTTGTTGCACTATTTAGGGATATCTAAAGAAGGCCGCTTTATATGCGTTAGCCCGGCGATTGATCCAGGCACTGTGCAGCATGTTCTTAGTGAAAGTTTGCTGATTTCTTCAACATCGTGAAACCAGTCCTGTTGTTTACGACGGGGGTAATCTAGAAAGTTCAGTAGATGCCAGCAGCGCGATCGGGAATGCATCCGGGGTTGCCTTTCCCTGCGGCGGATGCCGAAGATGTTGGTCTGGAGGAAGCTAAGTATCGAGAGGGTTCGCAGAAGAAGACTGTCATCTTAACAACCACGGGGACCCAGTGCTCCCTTCCAGACAGCTTTATCTACTCTGAGGCCGACATTGAAGTCGCCAAAGTTAATTAAGTTGTCCGCTATGAACAAAGTCACCAGGAGGACGTGCAGGTCTCGCCCTGTTATGACTAGTAATTGAGGGGAGCGCGGAACGGTGGCGAAGTCGGATCCCCAAATAAGCAGATGTAAGATCATGAAGTGGTTGTTGATGCAGGGCAGTCATCCCACGACTATATTCCGTGTGGCACAGGCGACTCCGACGTCCCGTTGTTTTTTTGGGTAGCTGTTCCAGCACCCACCATGTCCAGTTGACCCAGTTTGAAGAATCTGGTCTCAC